GCAACTTTTATTTAAAACGGCCTCTATTACATAACGGAGATTTCAGTAGTTTCTTACTGAAGTCATAAAAAAAAATCGGTCTTCACTCGCTCTTATTTTTTTAAAAATTAAAATCCCAACTAGTGTTAATCCCGAATAACCGTCAAAATTTAGGCCCAATCCTAAATTCCCGGTATGATAAAAGAGCCTATATACAGTATTTATTGTTAACATGATGTCGTTCAAATAATGCATGAAATATTTGGCACTGGACGTTATTTCTCTTGTTCTTGTGTCTTTAGTGATGCTCGAAACCTAAAATTTATTAAAAAACCTGTGAACCAGTTTATGATTTGAAGAGCTTTTAAAATATCAGAACTGTTGAAAAAAAGGGAAGTCAATTCTTCTGAAAGCCCGCCGTCGGATTAATATAAAAGGAATCATCGGAGTTTATTAGTAGCACATAATTTACATAGTAAACGATTAATTCAACTGCACTAGAATTATTTGTATGTTCGCTCTAAATGAGCATGAAATACTTGCAACTGGACAATAAACAAATTCAGTCAAAAGTTAATTCATATGTTACATATCAAATATGCAATTATGATAATCATTAACAACCGGCATTAAACAAACTAATGCTAATAAATTACTACCTCATCAACTGTTTCCCCCATCATAGAATTGCCGTAAACGTAATTGATTTATTTTAGGACGTAGATATAAGAAGATGTTGTATGAGCGCCAATGAGACAACTCTCGATCCAAGTCACAATTTATAAAAGTAAACCATTATAGGTCAAAGTACGGTCTTCAACACGGAGCCTTGGCTCACATCGCACAGCAAGCTATAAAGGCCCCCCAAAATTACTAGTGTAAAACCATTCAAACGGGAAAACCAACGGTCTAATCTATATAAAAAACGAGAAACACTTAAGAACCACATCAACAAACGACAACTACTGAACATCAGTTTCCTGACTTAGGACAGGTGCAAACAATTGCAGCGAGTTTTAACGTTTTAATGGTACCAAACATTCACCCTTATCTGAAACAATAGTGTAACATCACAATATAGAACGACACACTATAAAATATCAACTGAAATGGCTTAACTCAATCAAAAGACATATTAGCACAAGTGAACATACATGTATTGGCGCTAAATGACGTGAGACGTTCTGGCGTTTAACAGTGGACACGTTTTGGCGAATAACAATTATCGGACACGTTTGGGGGTTTTGAAATTGGACACGTTTGGGCCATATTGAATATTACGGACACGTTTGGGGAGAATGGACACGTTTGGGGGAATCGGAAACGTTTGGGGGGATGGACACGTTTGGGAGTGTTACATATATATATATATATATATATATATTTTGTTGAGAGCTTTAACGAGTTCTGTGCCACAGGGCCGATCATCGGCCTAAAGTACGACTCCTTTCAGTGCCAAAGGGCCGATTCATCGGCCAATTCAAATGATGTTGTGGAATACGTAATGTACTATGACGTCGCCGTTTTTGCGCTTCAATTAATTCTACCGTCTCTAAATTTTCGCGCGTTTTTTTCTAATATTAAAAAATACGGAAGTCGAGCTTTTTTCTTGAAAATTATGAAAATAAAATCATGTGAGGATTCCTTTATAAATATTATGGAAGTAAGTTTTATATGTATTGAGTCTTGAATTCACTCTCTTTTTTCCAGCACTTTTGCGGTATGCATTTTAGGCTTACGTTCCTAAAGTTATCATCAAGGGAGTTACTTAAAAAAAATATATATATAAATGCAAGTAAAAATGTAAATACATTAGATATAGAATATAGAAATTAATCAAATAAGAACAAAATACCTTTACAAAGAAAGGTTTAGATAAAATGCAAATATTTTTTTTTAGAGACGCGAAAAATGAAAAATACGCCAAAAAGTACGATATTCAATAAATGACGTTATTGATCTTATGACGTCATCCATAAACGCATCTATCGAATAATGGCTGATCCTAATCCCTGGTTTCGAGTGTATCCCCCTGAAATTCGGGATCACACAGAATTTGATCAAAATGTTGGACCTAAAAGAATGCCTCCAAGAAATTCCAGACCCATTGCATATTTTATGCTGATTTTTACAATGGATTTAATGAAGAAGTTTGTCTTAGAAACAAACAGGTATGTGTAAGCCCTTGTTCCTTTAAAAACGACACAATGCACTGAATAAATTTCAAAGCAAAAAACTTTACTGTGTCCAATGTTTAAGATCAATGCGGCATACGTTAGAAAAGGCCGAACATTTAAATAGAAATAAGAAATCAAGGGTTGCCAACTTGGATACAAGAGAAAAAAAAATATCAAAGAAAAGCAAAACACGGGGGACGGAGCTATAGTAACAGTGCTATGCACTCGATTTCATCATGAAATTAATATTGCATTTACCGTGGGAAAACGCATTGTCCAGTATTGCATCGTCAAAAAGATTATTGAGCTTAACTAAAACATATGATATAAAATATGGTTTTTGATCGGTCCATGCATGTGTTTACGCATCTATTAGTTTGTCCCTTCTTATCTCACCACAGAAAAGAGAAGGAAAAAAAAACCCACACACAATCCTTAGATTTTTTGAACAAGTTTGAATTTTAAACTACAATTACAGTGAATAAATATTATACGGTTGTCAAGAATTACAAAACTCATTATTTTTCATATCCAGGTACGCTAGAAATTTTATTACAAGAAATCAACACAATATCAGCAATAAATCCAGGGTTCATGGTTGGCGTAAGAAAGGAAAATTAACATTAATAGAGTTTAAAGCCTTCGTTGCTGTGATTTTGAATATGGGCTTAATCAGAAAGGCGACAATATCTGAATACTGGAACAAAAAATATTCTAGTCAGTCAATTCCTTGGTTCCGGAAAGTTTTCACCATAAATCGCTTCCAATTGTTGTTGAAATTCCTGCATCTTGTTGACAATAGAAAGATAGCGCCTAGAAATTCACCAAGTTATGATCCTATTGCAAAATTTAAACCCATCGTTGACCATTTCAACCTAAAAGCGAAAACACATTATTCTCCGTCTATTGATGAATCCTTAATCGGGACCAAATCGCGTACAGTTTTGCGACAGTACATTCCGACAAAGCACGCTAAATTTGGTGTCAAACTATGGATGTTGACAGAAGCCATTACTGGGTATTGTTTTCACTTTAATGTTTACAAAGGAAAAAGATATGATCCCACTCCAGCAGGAGAGACCCAAGGTTCATATGTTGTTACATCATTACTTCGCGCTGCTGGTTTACTGAACAAATGGTACCATGTGTTTTGCGACTCGTTTTTCACTTCTTTATCTTTAGCGAAACGATTGTTAAACTTACACACATATACAACTGGAACTGTGCGTAGTAATCGCCCGTTACCAAACCTTATCAAATCGGCTATTTTAAGGGCTTCCCAGAGTATGTTCATGCGACAGCAGGAAATTTTGGTATGTGCGTTTAAGGAAAAAGAAAAGCGCAAAAATGTCAAATTGTTGTCTAGCCGGTACAATGCAGAATTAGTTGCAAACCAAAAACCTAAAATGATAACTGAGTATAATAAATATATGGGAGGCGTTGACTTGAACGACATGCTCACTAGTTTTTACGAAGACGGGCGAAAATCGACAAAAATGTGGAAGAAGGTCGTGTTTAACATTAAACACAGGATGGTAATAAACGCATATATTTTATATCAACAGAACTCCGACAATGCTAAATCTCGTCTCCATTTTATTCAACTGTTAATTGATGACCTTTCCGAAGATCATATGACAAGAAACCCTGCCAATCTTGGGGTCTTGAATGATGAAAGAAACAACCAACATTTGAGAAAATTGCCGGGAAGAAAAGAAAAAGATTGTTGTGTATGTTCGGTGCGAAATGTGCCTGGTGGTAGGAAAAGGTCGAAACATATATGTGTTCTCTGTCATAAAGGTGTTCATAAAATATGTTATAAGAAACACAGCAGACGATGTAACGCTGATGAATAAAATATCTTTCTTGATAAATGTGTCTTGAATGTTGTATGATCCCAAGCTCATATAATGAAATTATTCATAAAGAATAATCACAAGCTTTCTTTTATAAGTAATGGCAAATCCATTTGCAATAGTTCTTTTTCATATAACCGACTTTTGACTCGTGAGTAAATGATTTTCCAACATGTAACTTTCTCTGTGGAAGGACATTCGGGTCCCTGTTCAAGTGAGAGAAGAAGTAAACGTCAAGCTTATAAATTGGTGCAATTATTTGATCATGTAAAGAGAACATAAAACATAAAACAATTTATTTCATTTTTTTTACAAATTGTAAGCTTGATTTTACTTTATCTAGTTTGCTCTTACTCAAACGTGGACCAGAATATCCTACAACAGAGTAGGTAACCTGTCGAAATATTAAAATCTCCGGAATTCCCGCCAATTTTCAATTAAAATCTTTTGGCGCTATCAAAGCTGTACTGTGACGTCGACGTTAAAAGCCTTGGCACTGAAGGGGTTTGTTTACAATTTGTTTGGCAGTGAAAGGTTTAATAAAAAGTAGCTAAGTCCAGTGCATGACCATGACTTTTTCCCAATTCAGAACCTCCTTAATAGTTGTCTTATAAAGATGAGAAAATGTGTTATTATGGCCAATGAAACAAAACTCTCCACCAGAGACCAATGACGTAGAAGTTAGCAACTATAGGTCACCGTACGTCCTCACCAATTAGCAAAACCCATACCGCATAGTCAGCTATAAAATGCCTCGAAATGGCAACGTAAAACGATAAAACTAACGGCCTGATTGATGTACAAAACAATAAACGAAAAACAAATATGATATACAGCAACAAACGACAACCACTGAATAACAGGCTCCGGACTTGGGACATTCACATACAGAATGCCTCGGGGTAAGACATGTTTGGGGCGACTAACCATTCCTTTACGTGGGAGACCGGTGTTACAGCACAACTGTGCCTGGCGTACAAACTGTAAACCTAGTATCTTTGATAAGTTTTTATTTTAATATGTAAAGCACTTGTAACAAATTTGGAATCAGCAATATGTTAATGAATTTTTCCCGGAATCGGCCATTATAATCCAATATTGATTTAATTAAAATACATTGTTGTAACGTTAATTTGTTTTTCATTTTCCTCCTGATTTATTAAAATCGTTGATCATGCATTGATATATATATCTTCCATTTTCACTATTATGATTTCATTTTTTATTATTCACACACAATTAAGCAGTTGACTTCCATAATGGTAATACAAATCTGATTTCTAATCTATTATTAAGAATAAAATTTACAGCAACCATTGATTGCTATACATAGATGTGAACAAAATACAATAGAAGTTTAAAAAAAAATCACCACCCGTAAATTGTTTATTTACTCTCAAAAATACTTCATGATGCAGAACACATCGTAACATTCGTTTTACACTCATAACAAAATAGTCGATCAGTAATGAAGTGTTCTCACATGCAGAACACATCATCAAAACATTTTGTTTATACTCACAACGAAATATCAATCAACATTGAAGTGTGCTCACATGCATAACACATCATCAAAAAATTCGTTTTATACTCTCAACAAAATAGTCAATCACTATTGAAATTATTTCATAATGCAGAACATGTCATCGTAACATTCGTTTTATATTATCAATAAAATAGTTCATCAACAATGCAGTGTCCTCATCATGCCTTACTCCTTTCTGTTTCAACATTTTCATAGCATTTAACACAATAGCAGTGAACATTTTCATAAAACAAAAGAAAAACACAAAAATATACAGAAGTATAAATATTGGACCTATGACAGGCTGAAGGTCAATATATTGATTATAATTATTTATTTTACATGTACATTCTATCAGTGTCATAAAACTATCTCCAAATGACTTGTAACCGGACATTAAGGTCCCTAACAACAGATTTCCAAAACTTGCAAATGCAATCAATGATATTGTAAACATAAACGCAAAATACTTTAAAGGCACTTTTGCAAATTCAACCATTGAATACAAATAATTTAACTTACGGTTCATCATGAGAAGTTTAACGAATTTTAAAAAAGCAAATACTGTTAGCAAAGCCATGATGTATATAAAAATATTATCCCACAAAATAGCCAGATTAAAATTGACAAAAGTGTTCCCATGACTTTCTCTGTATTGATGCATGATTTGTGCAACTATTAAATACCGCTCAATAAATATTGTAATGCCAATGATGCATAATAATACAACAAACATTGCAACTTGATTCCAAAATCCATGTACATATTGTTTAAAACCCATTTGTCTAATCCGTTTAACTTCAATATAAGACAGAAAAAATGTAAATAGGAAAAATATTATCTCAAACAAAAGTTTTGTAATTTCTTTGTTAGATGAATAATCTGACAATGAGGTTGTAAATGTCAGAAATGATGTTGTTATTCCACCTGGGCTGCTGAATTCAAACACAATCGTTACTGAACTATACAAGTTAAGATTTGGATTGTACAATGTAAATTCAACGAACAAAGCTCTTGTTCTGTCGTCAATCCATGACTTCGATATCAGCTCTGAAATCTTTGAAACAGCAGAAGGATTTGGTTTCATCTCCACCAGATAACCGCCCCCACCGTACATTGCCCGCGTGCCTATATATGGTACAGATTTCAAGTCCCAGGCACTCTGGTATGCCCATTCGTCCTGTGAGGTATGTAACGGTGTTTGCCAGGATTTATTGTAACTGGCTGTATCATCATTTATGTAACCTAATGGGGAAGTGCATTCCAGGGTGTACACATTTTTAATAATATCGGGAAATTCGCAACTACCTGGAAAAAAATAAAAAAAACAAATAGATGTGTGCAAATTTGTTAATCAGCAACCAGTTCTTCTGTCTAATTTATATTGACAAACGTAAAGTTTGTATTGAAATTGTCAGGACATTGTGATAAAAAAACATAATATTTTTTAGTAAACAAAAAAATAAGGAATTAATTTAAATCTAATGAAGCAACTCATTGAGGTAAACACTTGATAGAAGTATTCAATCAATAAACCTTTGGATAAACACACGTCGGGTCCCTTCTTTAGATAGGAAAATTGCAGAGCAGACAGAAATGAATGATTTTTTTAACAATTCTGTTAAAGAAAAACCAATAACGCAACTGACTTTGCTGTGCCTGATGATTGTCTCACTGTCAAATGGATCACTTTGCTGTGCCTGATGATTGTCTCACTGTCAAATGGATCACTTTGCTGTGCCTGATGATTGTCTCACTGTCAAATGGATCACTTTGATTTATAGAAAAAATAATTCTATACAACAAACCATATCTCTGAACATTTTAAACTATTCTCTAACACTGTCATAAACCTTTAAAATTTTTATCTTCACCTGCGTATTTTATTTTGGCCTTTTTATTTTATTTAGTTTTATTCGAGCGTCACTTGTGAGTCTTTCGTAGACGAAACGCGCGTCTGGCGACTTCACATATTTTTAATCCTAGTTTCTATGATGAGTTCATTTTGCCACCTCATTAGTCAAATTGGGGATCATAATGTTCTTAAGTTACATTCATTCATTATGAATCTGATAGTCTTTTTATTGTTTTTTTATACCTTTTTCAACTCTTATCTGGCGTAGACGCAATGTTCCTAAAAGTAAGAAATCATTTTCTGGATTTTTCTTTGACTTGTCAAATGGTAAAGTTCTGTTTAATGGCGTGACTACACTTTCATTGATAAAATTCCACATGTCAGTGCGCGTTTTTACCTGTAAAACAATGTAAATTAAGGACTACAACATGATATGACAGCAGCTAATTCTTAAAAGGATTCATACAACACCTTCATTGTTAGATCACGAAAATGGATTTTTTTTATTACTTCGGATAGAACTGCAATCAATCCTTTCATAAAGAAATTTGAGGTTGAAAACATAAAATGTACTAAGCTCTGGTTACAATTGATTGTCAACGTGAACAAATACTATTAACTATCAACAACTGTACTGGCTATCAGGAAATGGAAAGCTTTTGTCGAATACATTTTTTTAAGCTCTATTCCAAAATAAGGAATATCGATTATCATAGAACAGTTTCACAGAAAGAGTAGTAATACCATTTAAACTCGTACTTACAAAGTCAAATTTCTTCTTGATGAACATATTGTTGACAGTTTGTGACTGCTGAAAACATTGTTCAACAGGACGATGATTGTGGACAACCAATAACATAACAGTAATGAATATCAAAAATAGAATGATGTCCTGAGTTTTTGTTTGCAGTCTCGCTGTCAACTCACTTTCCTGTTTCCTTTGCTTAAGATACTTTTTAGGAACGTGATCGGGTATGCTATTCTGTTTCTGTGTTCTTTTTGACACGTACTGATCGTCTAACGAGTCTAAAAAGGATAATTAATTTCGTTTTTATTTCATTCTAAATCTAGAAATCTAGTTGAACCTGTTTCAAATAGTCTAGACGTGGCACAAACTGTAGTTATATAATATATTATAAGCTCCATATTTCTCAAAAATTGACAATTTATATATTCTATCAAAAGACGAACTTTTTAAATTATTTACTATGTCAGCATCCGAGAAAAAAAATAAATATATATTGCAAGCTGTCAGTAAGAGAACATACTAATTGTATGAACATTTTCCAAATTGTTTCATTTTGTTCGTCGTACCACATTAATATTTAAAATGACTAATAGTCCTAAATGGGTCCGGTTTTCTAATTATTGTTTTTAACTACTCTATAGCATACAATATTTGTCAAAAACACATGCCACTATAATGAATAATATAGTTTTAGTTTTAGAATGTGAAGCGTATTGAAGATTTTTACTATTGTCATAGAAACAATGTTGTTGATATGATTTTTTCTAGTATATATTGGTGAAAATTAAATGCTTTCAATGTCGATTATACCTTAAAGAAAATGCGTTAGTGACAAAGCAGTGTCGATGCAAATTTTGCATTTATAATTTCATTCATACTTAATTTTTGTCCTCAAAAATATGTAATTTGCTTGAAATTTTTATCTTGAAAATGGTTTGCTAATAGCACATAATTAAATCTGCCTTGATTGATGGATGAATGCCTAACGTCCAGGGGCTAATTAATATGCATATTCAGGACGAGAACATGTTAATGTAATTTAAATATTTAACCTGCTTTGTACTAGACCGACACGCGGAGCCGGGGTTTTAACGTGCCAGATCACAAGGTAACAGTCCGTAGGAAGAAATGTCCCCTTACTCGGACACATTATTTTGATTTCGAGCCGACCAGTCTTTACTCTTACTATTTAATGCCGCGTGCTTAGCGGAGAAGCAGCAATTACCAATTTTGAAGTCTTTGGTTTGACCCAGCCGATATACGAACCAAGACCTCCTGCACTCGAGGTGAACACACAACCGTTCTAATGTATCAAGTTTGTTTTTGTTGATTTTGGTCAAAGCCGACTTAAATACTGAGTAATTTTACTCATACCTTCATTTCCTTGCACAATCTGTGGTGGTGCATCCCCAATCTTGACTGGTCGCTTCAGTATAAAAGTAATTATCACGGCAAAAATTACAATAGTTAATGGTTCCAAAACTACTACATCGTCTACAAATGCTGTGATAAACGACACAAGCCATTCCAAACTCTCGTAGTAACCATATTTCAAACCATACAGCATACTAGTAACAAAAAAGGATGCAGTAAGGGACGTTAACGACACCGTTGTCCAAGCTATATATATTACCCACCACGGTAACCTACAAGTACGATACAAGTAAACACTAAAATTAACATTGGAAGTATAATTATGGTATCTTTTAAAAAATATTGTTCGTATATCAATGTTGGAACTGTGGTTTTAATTAAGCGGCGAGTCCGTGTGTTCATGTATCATTGTTGGAACTGTGGTTTTAATCAAGTGGTGAGCCCGTGTGTTCGTGTATCATTGTTGGAACTGTGGTTTTAATCAAGTGGTGAGCCAGTGTGTTCATGTATCATTGTTGGAACTGTGGTTTTAATCAAGTGGTGAGCCCGTGTGTTCGTGTATCATTGTTGGAACTGTGGTTTTAATCAAGTGGTGAGCCAGTGTGTTCATGTATCATTGTTGGAACTGTGGTTTTAATCAAGTGGTGAGCCCGTGTGTTCGTGTATCATTGTTGGAACTGTGGCTTTAATCAAGTGATGAGTCCGTGTGTTCGTGTATCATTGTTGGAACTGTGGTTTTAATCAAGTGGTGAGCCCGTGTGTTCGTGTATCATTGTTGGAACTGAAAAAAAATTGGTAATGTTTTACATTTTCCTTATACATGTTAAAGTTTAATTGTGTCAACGAACAAATCGTAGCTGTTGGTAGCTGTTATTCTGCGGTTTACATGTTTTAATGTACTATTATATTATTTATTTATGCGTTTCTCTGTGCTGAGTGTTCTTGCGTTTGTTTGTACTGTATTCCTGTCACGTAGTGTTGTCATTCTAGCGATATTTTTTAACATTGCCATATAAACGGGAGGTTTGGCTAGCCATAAAACCAGGTTCAACCCACCATTTGTTCTTAAAATGTCCTATACCAAGTCAGGGATATGGCAGTTGTTATCAAAAAGTCCGTTACTATGTATGTTGGCGTTCGTTTTTGTTTGCACTTCAGTGTTTCTGTTGTTCCGTTGTCTTCCTCTTATAATTGATGTGTTTCCCTCGGTTTTAGTTTGTAACCCGGATTTGTTTTCTCTCAATCGATTTATGACCTTTGAACAGCGGTATTCTACTGCTGCCTTTCTTTATCTATATAAAGATGATCCTTCACAAATTTAGCACCTCCGACGCTTTCCTGAATTAACATTTATAATAAATACTTAAACCTAAACACTTCAAATCCAAGGATATATAAATACGTAGCAACTTTAGGAGCTATTTGTCCGAAAAGGACATAAAAAGAATAGCCAAATTTATCTTAGATCAACTTTACCTGAGGGATTAGAAACCTTAGTTTTCTTAGTGAAACTAGGTAAACCAAATAGAAACGTAAATTCGATCTGTAATTCATCTTCATACACTAATGTACCAAAATATAAATCTCCATATCTGCAGGCTTTACAAAAAATGATCGTACAATTTTCATATTTTCCAATTTTCATTGAGCTATATGCTGTAACGCAACTTGATTTGATTTGATTTTTGGTGTTTTAACGCCACTTTTAAGCACCGCTTTTGGGCTATTTCGTGGCGGCCAGTTTTTATTGGTGGAGGAAGCCGGAGTGCCCGGAGAAAACCACCGACCTTCGATAGGAAAATTGACAATCCTAGTCAATTAAGATTGGAGTCGAGTGCACCCGCACGAGCGGGGTTCGAACTCACAACCTCAGTGTTGACTGGCTAGTGATTACAGTAGTAACTACTTAGACCACTCGGCCACCGAGGCCCCTCGTAACGCAACTTAAACTCAAACTCGATCTAAAAGTCACCACTAGGTAGGAGTGTACCAACAATAAGATCAATTTCTCAAAACAAAATAATATCTTGACAACTGTTTGATTTAAGGGGAGGAATGAAGGACATAAGTAACCCAGTATGCTGCGGCCACGTAGTAATTGGGGTAATAGAAAACCCAAATATATACTATTCTTTACTTACATATTTCTGTTAACAGCAATAGTTTCAGTCTTTGTATTCTCTAGTACGTTATCATTACCACTATTTGAACGTCTGCCATCTCTTTGAACTGCTGCATAGCGATCACTTTTAAATGTTCTTGGCTTAGTTCGCATAAAAAGTTCAATAATAATAAAGTTAATAGGGAACATAAATATACTACTTTCAATACCTATTACTATGTCTTTCAGAGAAATTGAAAACTGAAAACCAACGACCTCGGATCTGATCGAGGCTTCAGTAGGTATTCCATGAAACATTAAACAAGTCAACATTGTACATAACAGTAAAGATAAGGCACAGGATAACCTTTGGACCCTTGTAAAATCACTGTTTGGGGGTTTGGATAAAATGCTTAACCATAAATGGCCTCTACGTAGCTCTTGGCTTGTTTTCAAAACAAACTGGTGTCTTAAATTTGTTTTTAGCTCTGCAGTAGATGTGCTTGTCAAACGGAATTTAGTAGATTCACTCTCCACACCAAGCCAATTTTCACAGTAGAAATTATATATCTTCTTCATTTGGATATCTTCAATTATTATTCTCGACAAAAACCTGAAAGGCACAATTAGGTCTGTAAACATGGAGTAACATAAATACTGATTTACAAAGTAATTCGTATTTTGCCCTCTTATTCATAATTTTTAAGTCCTTGGGAAGACATCTAAACCTTCGACAAATGCAGAATTTTGAGTAATGCTTAAAATAAGGATAACAACGAAATACTGCTACAATAATGTACAACTTTATGTGGTAGAGTGGTTTACATTAATATTTATTTTCTTTCAGAATAATTAATATTAATAAGTAGTTTTATTATATGTATTTTGAGAGTTCATCAATTCTTCTATTCTCTTATGCAATCTTATTTTCTTGTTAATATGTTATATCTTCTTAGTACCGTAGTTCTACTCTATTTTTCTGGTTCATTAGTCAGTCAGTCATGTGTAATATTATCTTGTCTTCTATTGGTTATAGTCACTGAATTCAAAGTTTTACCACACTTTTTGAATACCTTATGAGAGAAAGCTATATATCATAGAATACAGCAGCCATATTCAAAATAGTTATATTGCTATATATTCTGGACACTAATTCCATATTAATCAGGTCAGTTACTAATATTTCTAAGTCTTTAATATTTGCACAGTTTTCCTTTAGTTTGAATCTGAGAGAAAATGTATTTTTGAATTAGAATGATTGTGCATGAATGATAGATATTTTATTTTAAAGAAGTATTTTCATGATCTCAGAGAAATAATATATCATAGATATATTAATGATACATGTATTGGTACAGTTATACTATTATTATAAAAGGTCTAAAGCAATGTCTATTGAACATTATACTTATTGTTTATAAATGTTATGCAGATATAATTTAGTTTTTTTAGACTTATGTAGGTTATATTTGTATTTTTAACAGGACCAGAATATCTTGATGTTATTGTGATCTGGTGATGTTTCCAAATAGGAGATAGACCTTTTTACCATATACATGATAAGAACAGCGTTTTCACTGTATTTATTAGTGATTGCAGTATCAGTACATTGAAGCATCAGATATAATACTATTTCAATTTTATTTTTTCATAGATATTATGATTGTATAGTCTGAAATGACGTGGTGATGTTTCCAAATAGGAGATAGACCTTTGTACCATATACATGGTAATTAAGATCAGTGCTTTTAATGTATTTTTAGTTTACTGTATTGTCTGTGTTTGTCTATTTAATTTTAGTTCAGAATATGTATTGTTTGTGTCTTGTGAATAATAGTTACATGTATGTCAATAATTATATGTAAACATTATAGTAACAAATAGTTCATTCATAAATCAATGAATGATTAGCGTAACATTATTTGACAGAATGTAGCACTTAATCCTGACTTGGTGTATAATTGAGTTTGATTGAATTTATACATTTATAACATATACACTTTAATAGACTAAGTATTGGTTGTATTCTTATAGAAAAGAGCCAGTTTATCGTATTTTATAAATGTACTTTCCGTTATATGAATTAGAGTTATATCCCTTTCTACACCGTATTGTCTATGTATTTATGGTTTTGGTTTTGTTATTTGTGTATTTTCAGGGTTATTTATTTATGTCGTATAAATAAACATCTTTAAACTTGACGAATCCTTTTATTCCGTCCAAGAACCCTGTTACATTTATATGACCAATTTCCATCTGAATTGACTCAAAGTCTCAAAATTTATGTTTAACACCCTTCAACGTATAATAGAATAACAAATCAAATCAAATCAAATCAAATATTTTATTGTCTTATAAACTTTACAGTTTGTGACCAACATGTATTAACACAATAAACATATATACATACATATAAAACAAACACAATAAAAACAGCATCAAAATTTATAAAAACAAACAAGTTGTTAAGAGTCCCCTGCCCTCAGTTCTAATGACTTTTTCAAGAAGGATCCTAACTTATTTGTTTGTAAAGGCGTTGATGGATTTAGTAAATAATGAATTTTTTCTTCTTCATTTAAATTATTAAAGTTATTATTTTCAGTCCATATGTGTTCAAAAAAGGCATTTCTTAGTGTTTTATTATAATCACAATAGAGTAAAAAATGTTTCTCATCCTCTAGTATTTTACATTTATGACAAAGTCGTTCCTCTCTTGGGATTTTAAAATATCTCCCCTTTTCAATTAAGAGGGAGTGATCACTTAATCTAAATTTAGTGATCAATCTCCTTATCTGAAAATTAGATATATTTAGATAAGATTCTAGTTTGCAATCCTTTTTAAGTTTTTTATATATATAAAATTTACTTTTATCATCAATGTTTTCAAATTTAGTTTCAATTAAATCTTCATATCTATTTTTCATTTTTAACTTTATATCGTTTTTTATTTTATTTACATCTTTTATGTCCTTACAATTAGAAAAAAATATTAAGGTCAATATTAGTCTCTTCAACAATATTTTTTGCATATGTATACCATGAATAAGTTCCAGTCAAATCTAGAG